AACATGCCTCCAGGCAGCATCCTAGTAACATGTTTAGCGTGATCAGCTACCCAGGCTTCAGAAATTCCAATAAGGTTTCCGTGGTCGTCATTTTTATCCTGAGAATAGCTAGTCTCTGAACCACTATCTAGGATTTTCTCTTCGGGCGTCCGGGCTAAGTGGATTACGCTTTCACGTGCATCTATAATCTAAAGGTTCAGAAAATAAAACAAAGCCTAAAGTAGATACTATACAAATTTTCGAGAACAGATGTAAAAAATGCAAGCAATATCACAACTACTTACTTGACCTAAAATTAAACCCAACGAAAAGATTTCATTATTTGCATTTTGTTCAAGATACTGCAAACAATATTCCGGAGAATAAACTGTGCGAACCATGTCTATTGCTTTAATTTGCAATAAAAATACTAAATATTTTGAACACAATATAATCGCACTTCACACACGACGTCAATTTTTTTTTTTTAATAAGCTTTGGCAACAAGTCTATCTGTATAATGCTAATATGGTATGTACTAATATAATTAGTAAATTGAAATTAATCGAGTACAATTTAAACATAAATACTATTGGATAATTTTCCGAAAACTTTTAAATAGTGGAAAAAAATTCTGAAAAATATGGTTCTCCGCCAAAATGATGTCTTTTGAAGTTTTATGAAGCGTGAATTATAAAATAAAAATAAGCGCAGATAGAAGCAAGTTAGAGTAAAACGAGATTTAAAATGATTGGACAACAAAGAAAAAAAAGAATCAATAGGTAAAAAAATATTGATGCAGGTATTTATTTTGTTCAAACAAAATTCGCTTTGTGCAAACTAGATTAATAGTACCGCTGCATCTGTGTCTATCGTCAAATCAATTCATATGTTTTACTCGCTAAAAAATAATAACGTTAATAGAGTGGTTGCATTTTGGAATTGTTTTAATTGTTGAATTAACTTCATTTTGCCGCTTTACTCTTTACGCTTTACGCTTTACTCCTAAACCTTCGTAGCGCCACCAGCGTCCTGATTTTTATTCAATTCGGAATCGATTCGATCGGGTAGTGTCGATATCAGGTGGGTTTCTGAGCGAGAAGATGAACCTGATTCCTACTATATCTTTCTAATTTGTGAGTTAAATCAAGTATTGTTCCGATTAGAAATGTCAAAGTTTCGGAGCGGCCGGTTATGAATCGCAATTAAATGCGCCTCGACTCGGAAAAGACGCAGTTTCCGATCGGGAGAGGCGATCAAAATTAGGCAGCTGCGCATTAAAACGTTTATTACAGTATCCGATTTCAAGGGCCCTGCATCAACGGTGGGCGTGGTCCCTGATAGGGCGCCGCCGCTCTCATTAACTTTTATTTATGTCGCCCAAAATAGGGATCCCAACTTACTAACTCTTATAACAACTCTCTTAAGGTCGTATTCCAGAACTCTACTCAATGCTCAAGTCAGGACTTGAGTATGATTCAAAGCACTAGAAATCATACTGAAGTCCTTGCCATTAGGGTTGTATTTCCAGTGCTTGAAATCATACTCAAGTCTGCTCAAGTCAGGACTTGAGCATTGAGTACAGTACTAGAATACGACCCTGAGTTAGAATCGTGAATTTTCGGGCAGCGTAGGTACAAAAGCGCACTAGAAAAATTACGGCTTTACAGGTACAAAATTTAAAAATATTTCATTTCGTTTCACGTTTTTATGTTGAATATTTTAAATTATACACATCACTTCATTAATTTTGTGTAGTATATATGTAGCCTCGAAACCTATGGGAGTTCTCCAAGGTTCTCATCTTAGGCCACTAATGTTTAATATTTTTTTCTAAATGATAATGTTGATTGCATTGCCTCTTGTATGCTGATGATATGAAATTATTTCGTACAATCAGGGAGACTAGAGTTTGCATTGCATTACAACGTGACATTGATGCTGTCTCAGAGTGGTGCATTAGGAATTACTTAGATCTTAATGTAGGTAAGTGTTTTTACTACCAGTTTTACCACAAGACATTCCGCAGCTCAGTACGATTATAATACAGAAGGACAGCTATTGAAACGCAGTGAAGTGGCGAAAGATTTAGGCGTCCATTTTGACTCAAAATTGAATATCCATACAAATTTTAATTATGTTACTAACAGCGGGTTTCAGATGCTGAGTTTTATCATTGGTGTTTTGAAGGGTCTAAAAAAGCCTTTAACCTTACTCCAACTCTACTAAGCTTTACTTAGGCCAACTCTGGAATACGCTGTAATTTGGTCAACATTCTATAATGTTCACTCGCAAAGTATTAAACGAGTACATTAATCATTTTTGAGATCAGTTTGTAGTAGATTCGGATTTTAAGGTGCTGTTATTGGAAAAAAGGCAAGATTTTAATGAACTCATTTACTTACATAAAATCAGACATTCTATGGTGGATTGCCCCGAGCTTTTAAGCCAAATTAATTTTAATACTAAAGTACGTCTCAGGGTGCCACGAATTTTTCGTCTTAATGTATATAAAAATAGCACCTCTTTCCACAACCATATAGCGAAAATGTGTCGAGCCTGTGATGAACTTAAGCAAGGTACCTAATGCTCATCTCGATATTTTTAATTCGAAAATTAATTTATACAAGACGCAATTAGGTGTATCGCTTGATTCGGCCTTTGACCATTTTGTATTCTGTTATATTGTTATTACTATTATTTTTTAACTACTTAGACAAATCATTTTGTTTTAGTTATTAATTTCATACTTTTTTTTAAATTTTTGTTTTCTTCGTTTTGGATTGAGATTGTACGCTAACATAATACTAAGACTAATTTTACACCTATCACTGTATCTGTTACCATGTGATGATTACATTCTGTTTGTGTAAAAAAAGAAAAAGATCCATCAATGTGTAGCATGATATGCTGCCGTCCGTACCGATAAGATCGTATTTATATGTGGGGCGAACTATAAGTCAGAAATGAATTTATTGTTTCTCAAAATATTCTCCGTTAGCGTTAATGAACTTTTTCATACGAATGAACCAATTTTGAAAACATTTATGCCACTCCTCTGTGACAATCTCCGAAACATATTTTTCATACTCTTCGACAGCCTCTTCAGGTGATGAAAATCGTTGACCGCGTAACTGGTTCTCAATTTTTGGAAATAAATAAAAGTCACAAGGTGCCAGGACCTGACTACACGCTCATAAAGTTAACGTTGTTCACCTTCAAAAATTCATTTGTCTGTCTGGCCGTGTGAGAACTGGCATTATCGTGGTGCAAGATGATACGGCGTTTACGGTTATTTTTACGGAGTTTGTCAATAAATTCCGACAAACAAATGGTCGTGTAACAATCACTATTCACGGTACAACGATTCTCCAAAGCCACGGGTCCAGTTTTATTAAAAAAAGAAGCAATCATCCGCTTAGAGGCACTTTGCACGCGCGCCACTTTGGTTGGTTTCGATTCATCTCGAAAGACCCATACGCTCGATTGCTGCTTTGTTTTGGGATTGTAACAATAGCACAGCTTTTTTACACCCAAATGTTTATGAAGTATTGATTGTATTTGACTCATGCCTATGCCTAAAGATGCCCGAATCTCATGATATGTCACATGCCTGTCTGTTTTGATCAAACGGCGCACAGCATCGATGTTTTTGTTGTTCACAGCAGTGGACGGGCGACCATCACGAAATTCGTCACTGAGATTCACACGACCACGTTTGAATTCTGCAAACCAGCTATAAATAGTCGTTTCTTATGGAGCTTTATTGTCAACAGCAGTTTGAGGCCGAGCGAAACTCCGCTGAGCTGTGAAATTACACTTAAAGTAGTAGCAAATTATACTACGAAATTTTTCACGAATAAATCCGTGGTGATATAGACAACCAATTTCTAAAATGACGCCACAATGTAAAAACAAGTGACAGTCAGATGAAACAAACTGTATTCTACAGTCAAAGACTTCCGTTTTCAAATGTAGTAATTACTTTTTAAATATTGTTTATGTAAGTGGCCAGTTCCGGCCCAGTGCTTAGACTATTTTTTCCATCCTCTAAGGCCCTATGTAATCAATTGTCGTAAAATCGAAATCGTCAAAAGCATGAGTTGGCAGAGAAACATAATTGAATTATGCGAATGACGTCTTTAAAACTAGTTGCTTCACTAATTGCTGGACATCTCTCATCGTAACCCGGATTTGTTGTTAATTAGCCAAATTGGTCAATCATTTTCAGAACCTATTGCTTATAGATAACTTTATTTTTGTTGCAATAAAACTATAAGAGTATGTCTATTCCATACAGATGCGCTACTTATTCTCTTTTTTTAGAGTTCAACACGATCATACATGTAAAATTTTGTTATAAAAATTCTTACCAGGTGACCTCAGATCTCAGGTCACAGATAAAAAGTCAAAATTTGATTTTCGTCGCATTACAATTGTTTAAAAAGCTTATTACAACGGGGAAAGTAAAACACCCATGGAAGGTTGCAACGGCGGACCGACGAAATCTAGTTTCTTGCGACTTGAACGTTTTACTTGACTACTCACATTTCAAGTACTCCATTATTGCCATGTCGGAAAAAGGCACGCTAGTGAAATGGCAACCCTGACACTAAAAGCCAACATCATCCGAGGATTCCCTCTGAGCCTTTTGGAGGGAAAAGTGTCGTTTTTATTTTGACTTTCAATTATTTTGTGAAATCTGGTTTGAAGTGGAATAGGATAGGGCTATTGTACCTTAATCGAAGATTAAAACGCGAAATTATACGAATCTCGAACTAAAATACCCGTATCGGCCCGTTCTAAGGAATCGCGAGTCAATCCAACCACGCCGCCTCAAATTGCCTATCCTCTTTGTGGCGGCCATATTTACAGAAACAATTAAACTTCATGTTTAGGCTGATGACTTTGCCAAAGCCTTCATAAATGAAAAAAAAATTATATAAGGGCTATGATCGTTATTGAACATGTCAGCCCCATTAGAAAAGCGGTCTATCAAGAAAACACTTAATAAAATCGAAAAAGAAAAAAATTAATTGAAAAATATATTTATTACTTATACTTGAGACAATACATAATAGTTTAAAAATAACATAGGTACGCAATCAGCTTTGTGTTTTGTAAAAGCCGTAAGATGACAAGGAGCACCTAATACAATTTCACATCCATAATTGCAATTTGAAAAAGTACTCGTCTTGCGAACCGTGATACCACACATTAACTAAAATGACACAGTGCTTCGGTGAACGTAGAACAAGTTCGTCTTAAATTATACAGACATTCACGACTTAATTAAATTTGCATTTAGAGAAATCCATTTCTGGATGTTGTTCCATGAATCTGTAAAAAAAATATGACAATTAGGACCGCGATCCTTAGTGAATGACGCACACAAGATGAGGCCATCAGCGCAAAAGTGCTTTAACTCGCATTCTACATTTTTTCTACATAAATTAATTTAAATATAAAGTACATAATTATTTTATTTTTGAATGCCATTTCCCTGTAAAATTTAATAATTAAATATTTTTTATACATGAAAATAGCATCCAAATACTATGAAATTAACTGCCTCCGTGGCTGAACGGTTACCATGCAGAGGTCCTGGGTTCCATTACCGGGCCGGGAGAAATATTTATATGGCCTACATTTATTTCTCTCGTGAGTTTGGGTGTAATTTGTGGTTGGTTGTCCATGTATATGTCCACAGCACCCGCGAAACAGGGTTTCCCTAGTGCGGGGCTATGAGTGTGTGAAAACAATATTATCTTAGTATCATTTAAAGTAACATTGTAGAAAAAAAATTAAATGTGGGTTACACCACTTTTGCGCTGATGGCCTTAAATATGGACACAGGATGTTAGAAGAATATGACCACCACTGATATTGGTTGGTTTAAAAAAATTAAATCAACGACAGGTTAACTTTTACATGTTCGCACCAGGTGATTGATATTGTCTCTTTTTTGTTGGTCATTGCTTTAAGAGTTGACACTACCTCAGCTCGAATTAAATTTTTCCCCGTACTAATACGGTTCATTTTGCTTGGATAGAGCGGCAGGGTCACGGGCTTTATTTCAGGATACATCTTTTTACAAACGAAATTACATAGCCATATGAAAAATGTACATCGTATACTATAAGTGTTCTATTTAGTTCAGTTATATTTAAAAAATAGTTGGTATATGTGAAGCACTTATTTAATCCAGCGCTTTTCTTGTAAAATTTCGAGGTAAGTTTATGTTTTTTCTCTATCGTGAAAATTTTTAGTAATCGTGTTTTCACACCGTATAGTAATCAGTGTATATCCTGAATTTTACCATATATATTTTTTAAAGTGATTGATCCAACACTTTCACTGTTATGCGGACTCAACCAAAGCCATTTGAGGTTGTACCGACCCTTAATTTGTTCAACATAACTTAACCAGCTTTTGACTAACTACAATCACTAGTGTGTTAAGCGCCTTTAGAACAGGTAGTTGAAATCAAACCAAGAAAAATGTTCAATCAACTTACATTTACAGTTAAAATAATTTGATGTCTCTGGACTATTGTCTTTAAGCCAAACAAATAAATTAAGTCTTACTTTTTAAGAACATCCTGTTTCTTTTGCTCGTCGCTAGTTGGCAGGCCCATTTCCTTCTGTCTCTGGTCGTACATCATCTTCTCGACCAGTCCTCGAGTCTCCCCATCTAAGTCCGATAGTTTCGAAGGTTCTGGAATAAAACAATAGTGTTTTGATAAGAAAGCGCAAGTAGAACATTAAGTCACGAGTATATCCACATTTTATTTAAGATGACGCAAACAATTTTTTTCATTTGGTCAAGTCGGATGGTTTCCATGCTATCCTTAGAAAGAGAGCTGCCTCATTAATAAGTCGTATCCGTTGCGGCACGAATGAGATTCTGCGCGTTGTGACTGGTAGAGTGGATTGCCCGATCATGCTACATTGCATGAAACTGCATTTAAAACCATGTCGATGATGTATTTGATATTTAATTTAATTTGTTTAATTATTTTATGTTTTTAAGTTGCCTTTTGTTTATTTAAATGTGTGTAAACATATTGAATTATCTAAGCTAATGGACTGTAGTTGTCTGAGAATAAATGATTTTCGATTTTTTTTTATTATCTTTGCAAGCAATATTTTATAACAATTATTATATTAAGCCATTAGCGCTAAGGTAGAAAATATTTATTTATTTATTTATTTATTCAATTATATAATAATATGTCAATAAAGGTACTAAATAATAAAAAATAGGCAGTGGCAATGAGCACAGTTTCATTTATAAATCTCGTTTGGCCCAGACATCCTGACGGACACCTTAATTTATTCCATTGATAATGAATGATGCGTAATGAAATTCAATGTGTAAAGCCATAACATATAAATAAGATGTTATTTTGCACAACAACAATCTTATAAGAGTTCCCTTGTAAAAGACGTCGCTCTCTTTTCGCTTGGACTGCCACTTCAAGGCAATACGCCTTTTTTAGGTCAATACTGGGAGCAAACCGTAAAAAAGTTACCGAGTACTTGTGAGTATTTTGCTTAAGTTACTTAGAAATTCGGGATATAAACAATAACAAAGTCAGCAAAGAGTGATCGTAAGCAATTTCCCACGACGGTCAACGTTGGCGTTGTGAATCAAACCTTTGGTGCGTAGGTCTAGTTTAACAAAGATAATACAGATTTTATCCGAAGAGACCGTTGGGGATAAGGTACGGGACTAAAAATGTATGACTTTTTGCTGATTTATAAAAAAAAACATAACATAATAACAAAACAACATACAACATTTTTTATTGTAGATAAGTAAATATTAGACAACATTATATATGTTGCTCTGATTCCAAAGTCACTAAAGCACTTGTGTTATGGAACTCGGAAAAAACAACGGTACCACAAACATCAAGACCCGAGACGTATAAACGTTTTCTAGATTGGCCCGGCCGGGAATCAAACCCGGGACTTCAGAGATGACGATACCATGAAAATCGGTGTGCAAGCCACTTGCCAACGGATGTCGTCATCTGTCATTGCGATACTTGCAATTACCGTCAAATTCATCGTAATTTTATGCAAAACAAATAACAAATTATTTCCCAGAATTTCCCTAGTTTTAACAAAATTAAAATTAACAATTTTTGATCCACGTATTTATAAAAAAATCGGGAATCAATGAAACAGATTTTGGATTTTAATTGAATATTCCATTTGTATGAACTGGCATTTTTTGTATAAGCAATACAACATTGAATTTGCCAGTATTTATTTTATGGTATAAGCGGCGAGACGAACAAGTCGTGCGCTTGGTAGTAAGCGACACGTCTATACATGCGCAGTGCCACTTAGAGTTCTAAATTGCATAACTCCTAGAACACCCACACTACGCCCATCACCAACATATACGACATAAGTGCCTGTGCCCATGTTAATGTAATTTCACCAGCATCCTTAGCCTTTAAAACCGGAATGCTGTATAGTTAATATTACTGCTTGATGGTCAAAATAGGTCAGGTAGTAGCAGTACTTCCCAGGACGAACTCTTTCACAAGAGCTGTACCTTTACTATATACAATTTGTTAGCAGTAATTTATGTCTTTACCGCTCCTGAAAACAGCATTTTCATGTAGAATGAACCGCACATACGTGATTCTCGTATCAAACCTTGCTTGCATTCTTATAAAGTTGATATATGATGCAAACTTTATGTGAACATTTTAGGTATGACGTAAACAACAGACTCGAAAACTCAACAAATATCGCAAATGTTTGAAACAAAACCAAAGTTTCGCACAGTGTCGCAAAGGTCAAATGATCATTATAAGTTAACGTATAATTATAAGACAACAAGTAAATTTTGAACTCTGCAATGGTGGTGCTGGTATTGACTTTAGACATCAATGTTCAGGTTGTTACTTAAAGAAAATTACGTAATGGATCAAGTAATAATGGTCGTCATTAATGATGCATTGCGGTTGTAATATTTCCCTAAATCATCAGTATATTACTTTAATATTGTGTATTTATTATTATCGACGTTTTTTTCTTAATGTGGTGGTGGCTATTTTTAGCCTTTGCGCGCAACATATCATTTGTCAATTAAACTAACCTAACGTATAATCTAATTAAGTTAAATTAATAAGAAATCGAAAGACGCCAGGGTTTTTATAGGCGCTATGGCAAAAGTTCGATCATTAGTTATATCAAATAGGACAATTACGTATTAATATAGTTGGAAGGGCTTTCATTAACGCGTTCCTTCATTAAAAAAAGGTAGTAAAGAGGTAGACTTTTTGCTTTTACATTGTTGCTCACATCTCAGCAATAGGTACACAGACCCCCGGAGGTGAAATCGAGGCATTGGATAGGTATTGAACGAAAACTAGATTTTTTACGATTTTTTTGACACGCCTGTACATAACAGTTACTGTGTCGCTTGGACCTTTAAATCGCAAAGATCTGAAGGTCGCTGCCACTGCGCCCGTCACTTTGAGACATAAAACTGACAAGTCTCATTATTACCCCTCAAAGCCGAAACGAACTAATGTGAGCATTAATATAAATCGGAACGCAGTAAAGCTCACATTACTGCTTGGCTGCAGAAATAGGTAAGTATTTTCCTGGACCGAACTCTTTCACAAAGGATCTACTGAAAATATTAACTTCAGTAGTAGTAGAGCTCCTCGTGAAAGAGTTCGTCCAGGGTAGTACTGCCACCTTACCTAGCTTACTAGAGCATTACTGTTACAGCCACATGGGACTTGTCAACTTATGTCTCAGAGTGATGGGCGCAGTGGTAGTGCCCCCCTGGTCTTTGCAATTTAAAGCCCTGAGTGGCACTGTAACTGTTATGGATAGACGTGTAGCTTACCATCAGGCGCACGACTTGTTCGTCCCGTCACTCGATGGTATAAAAAAAACTAAAAATATTAAAAACATAAAATCTAATTTAGGATTCACCTGGGTTAATTTTCTTAGTAGATATTTCTGGATCCGTAGTGACTAGTCTGCTCCACCAGTTCATTTTATTTACCTGTAAAGCAAAATAAGGCACAAATTGAGCCAGCTGTCAGGTTGATCATTAATGTTGATTGGTGCACACTATACACAACAACACATTATTTGCCGTAATAAGGGAATTACGACGAAAATACTTATCTAATAACGATTTATCAAAAGTGTTACAAGGCCTTAAATCTTATTTTTTATAAATAACAGCCCATTAGATTGGAATGCACAATTGTACACGTACATACATTTAATATCATGTGTTAAAATCATTCGTGACTTCCATGAGAAGCAACAAATTCTTTTAAGGTATCTTGTTGTGGGCGGTTGTATATAGTTGTCCAGACCAGTTTCCAATAAAAACAAATGAAAAGTAGTCGGGTCTGTTCCCGCGGCATCAGGTATTTCCTGTGCTTATCGAAAAATGCCAGTTCGCGAAGAGCCTATAAGGTGCGGTTCCGCTTTTAAGTATCTTAACTAATAAGCGTAACGATACGCATCACTAGTTCACGACTTTGTTTAAAGAATTGAAATTGTTTTTTGGACAGTTTTCTTATCGTGGAGATGCTTCTAATATTTTAGGACTATTGACTTTAAGTAGTATGTTGCCACCTTAATTGTCTGTGGCTGACTATCTGTGGTTTTACTACCTGTGGCCGACTTAAGATCTTCCTTGATGCAAGTTGTTGTTCTAGTATAAAAAAAAATATTTCGAGACATATGGAGAGTTAGTAACGTTACCAAGTTTCCAATAGATGTTATGTACAAACACTAGTGATCATATTACAACATAATAGATCAGGTTGTAGGTAATCGTAGTTAAAAATACAATGAAATTTAAATAGCTGCTCGAAGAATATAAGAACCTTTTCAAGGTTGACAAGCACGTTTCGTCCGTCCTGTAGCACCCAGGTGGATTCTTCGACCTTGACGTCGGAGTCCAGATCACCATCGATGATGAAAGGCTGCCCTTTAATGCCTACTTTCAAATGTCGCTTGCCAATCACCACGTTCAAGTCACGCGGTCTTAAGATCTGGCGTAGAGGCACTCGTAGCTGCAACAAGAAGTTATAAAGTTATTTTGTTTTGTCTTTTTTATACCTTTTGGCGGTATTAGGGCAAGCAGGGCTGATGGAGAGAAGAATTTAAAAAAAGTTTGTCTGTCTACTCTGTGGTCTCCACTACGTTTGTCGCATCGTTCCCTACGACACTAATAGAAGTAATTTAACATTTTGATACAGCATGAAATTCTGTATCGAACAAAACCAAATAACTTTTGTCCGAAAACGTGTTACGGTTTTTTTCATTACACCATTTAATGTTTCACTATTTTGACATATTGACAAGTAGTCAAGTCAAGTCAAGTCAAGTCAAGTCAAGTTCTTTTCCCGATTTTTATTTCCCCAACAAACCGTTTGACAAATGTATCTAATTGAATATTTTTATTTTGTAAAAAAACGATATCCATGAGACATTTTTGTTATATTATATCTTGTTACAGGTACTAAAAGTATTAGAACGTGTCGCACAATACAACAACTCGTCAAATTAAAGCAACTCGCATCTTTAGAAAATATGGTAAACGAGATGCAAGTTAATTTGATTGAGTTGTAGTCACTCGCTTCGCTCGATCGGATCATGCTGCTTTTTCATATATTAACCTAACCTAAACCTACAGGAGGGGGTCGTACCATCTAGGTAATGCAAACAAATTCGCTCTGGCACTCGCAGGACGCTGCCGCGGCACGCTCGCTATGGTCTTTCGGCTCGTGCGGCATTTTCATATACTAACTTAACCTAAACCTACTGGAGGGGATCGTACCGTCTAGGTAATGCAACACACACACAAACATATAAAAAGACAGACTCTGGTACCCTCCTCGATTCAGTTATAAGTTATTTATTGAATACTCAAGACCATTGTTTTTAAATTACATTTCAGATGACAGCAAAAACATAGCATTAAGGTATGACGTACATTACGCAAGTGGACTTGCTGTGCACCAGCAAAGTACAGTCCAGAATTTTTGAGCTGTATGGTAAAATTGTATGGCGGTACAATTTTATCTAAGAATAGTAATTTTGTCGAAACGAATTTTCAGCAATTTAAATTATATGGAAAACAGACAGTACAACAAACATGATTAGACCAAACAAACTTCTGCCCAAAGAATACGTATGTGTAATAATTATTCTAACAATAGGTTTTCGGACAAACTATACTTCTGCTGTAAGACATTTCTGTGTTGTAAATTTATACCAAAACTGTCATCGCACTAATGAAAAAAAGTCGAACCATTTTCGGACTAATGAAATTCGGAAAAAAAATTCGAGTTTATGATAGGTTACCATTTTATCAGCCTGTTTAAAAATTATGTCGAACAAACTTTTTTGTGATACTAACTGACGGGACGTAGAAGTCGTACGGCTGGTGATAAGTGACACGCCTGTCCATAGCCATTGCAGTGCCACTCAGAGCTCTAAATTGCAGAGATATGAGAGACGCTGCCACTGCGCCCGTCACCATGAGATATCAGTTAACAAATCCCATGTGCATGTAATTTCACCAGCCTTCAAAACCGGAATGCAGTAATTTATTTATTAATTTATGAAAATATAACAGCTTCTTACATTTAATAAAAACAGGAACATTAAAATAAAGCCAATTACAGGTTTCCACCTATAGCTTCAGACAAATCATACACGAGTATGAAACAAACGAAGAATAAACAGTAATACTCGCAATGCTGCTTGGCTGCAGAAATAGGACTTTATTTCATAAGGGATTATGACTGCTCATACGATTGACAAATAGCCTAAATATACAATACTTATATAAAATATCTATCAGCAGTAGAGCTCCTTGTGAAAGAGTTCGTCCAGGAAAGTACTGCTACCTTCTGCCGCCAAGCAGTAATGTGGCCATTACTGCGTTCCGGTTTAGAAGAGTAATGGTGCTGGTAAAATTAAGGGAAACATGGGACTTGTTTCAGGCTGACGGACGCAGTGACAGCGCAACTGCTATGGACAGGTGTGTCGCTTATCACCAGGCGCACGACTTGTTCGTCCCGTCACTTGGTCAATTAACAAAGAAGCCAGTAACAGTCGTATTAATTAACAAAGTTACGCATTTATTGTAATACGGAATGCGCGTCCGCGAAATATGATTTTAATTGTCAAAACAACTTTCTCATTGAGAACATAAAGGTTAAAATGAGTTTATCAGATTGCATATTTATTGTAATAAGTAAGAAATTATTAAACTCTGCATTATAACTGCTGGCGGTTAAAGCGTGTGACGTCTAAAAATATAGGTATCGCCTTGATTCGTATGATTGCAAATAATTAACATATTAAGTACCAACATCATCCATCCACTCATAAATTTAATTATAGTTCCATTTTGTTTACATTTTTTTGAAACACAGGTCCATAAGCTTGGACAGATTGTTGACGCCCTCGGATATGTTAACAACAAACTTCTCGACAATTTTTACAAAACCTGCCTGATTATCATTAATCGGCGTCACATTTGACCAAAATATTAAACAGTTATCTATGAAATTGATTAAAAGAACCTCTTAAGATTATGAAATTAAGACACCATTTATTAATTACCACCTGGACGTGTGCGGCGTGTATGGCGTTTGTCCCCGAGAGCGACACGACAAGGTACAAGCCGCGCACTGACATCATAATGACATGCACAGAATACGGAATGACCAAAGTCTAAAACAACAATTATATGTTACACAAGAGGAGCGGCGAGAACGCGACCGACCACGAAGGCGTGATGGCCTCGCATTCCTGACAAGGACGATGTGCATGAACGTACCCGCGATCGGACTCTACATATCGCCTGTGCTTCTGACTCATTAACATGACGAATTCCCCTATAATGACACCCCTGACACGGCTTTTATGAGTACAGAGGCACCAAACTTATAAATGGGTAACAAAGTATACAACCAGGAGACAAAAAGCTACGATTGCGATCGCATCTTCTTTATCGTCTTGACTGAGAGATAAATGAGGATATCTTTAGACTTCGTACATATTGCTATAATTGTAAATCTTAAAACTTGTGGTAAGGTATCACAAAATATAATACAACTTACGTTAACGGTAAGCTCGGTTTTACGTAACTTTCCAGATGCAGTGGAACAAGAAGGAAGCCATAATATATTAAATTAATATGTTGCATGTCAAACATTGTGAGTCACTTGAGTCATTACTGGTAATAATCAAGTAACAAGCAGACAGAAAGCAATATTGTACAATTTAGTTTCAAAATAATAAGTTACCGTATTAAAAAAATCGTAATGTGGTAGGTACACACACATACTAGCTGTGTAAATAACATAAGGGCTCTTAGTCGATTGATTGATATCTCTTGAGGAACAAATTTCGCGTTAAGTAAATAGACGTACATTCAAGTGCTCTAAGCATACAGTTAATTTGAATTTTAGAGTAAGACAAATTTATCATTTTTTAAGAAATTCGGGGTAAGCTGATAATCAATTACTCGTTCGCCCCTGACCACAAAGGTATTATATATAACCCGATAACCGTAAAAGTTCAAACTGAGTTGACGGATAATTAATCAGTTAGCATAAGTTTATTAATATCATCCAAATAAACAACATAATTTAACTTGACCATGATCATTATTCAGTTATGCAGAGATGATGCATAATAAAAAGATTAAACTCACTCTTGTACAACCGTCACCGTTTCAATGTTAAATATTTGGAATATGGTAAAAAATAGCTAACAAATGATTAATTTTCTATACATAAGAACGTTATTTGTTATATTTGATGCTTAAAAATGTTCAGGTTATAAAGTCAAAACTGTAAGGCAAATAATATATTCCCGGACACATAATGCGAGTCACCTTGCATTTTCAATATTAAATGCTTAGCTTAAACAATGCTCTTAAGTCCTTATTGAAAACTTGAATTTAAAATATCGTTTATGTATATAATAACTTTTTCTTCGATGCTAACTATATTTTCATATAAAATTTTATTTAGGATAAAATTGCAAGGTGGCATGTGCCCGGGAATGTAATAAAGGCACCAACAAACGTTTGAGGATTGGCGAATAACAAGTGTTGATGGCATAATTATATACATACATATGTACTGAATAGCTTAAGAGCATGCGTGCGAATGAGAAATTAAGTAAGCCTTCAATCTTTTGTTGCTCTAACGAATTATTTCTTATAAGAACCTTGAGGTAACCACGTTCAATAGCGTAGTGTTATAATACCTTCACACGATTACGCAGATTACGACTCCGTTCTAATGGAAACTGAAGTCGTCGGGGTTATGTCACGACTGTTCTCTATGGGTCTCACTACGAATTTTTCTGAAGACGCTCACATTGGTGAGAGTTCTATTTAAAACAATCAAAATATTCGCACGCGAAACTTTCGCCGATCCGATTTTTCTTGGCTATTCAACAGCTCACAATGTGATCCGGTTTCGATTTGAAAGTTAAAGATCCCTACTTCAAGGCTTCGGCAAAATTCCTTCAAAGTGCTACAGTAAACTTTATAGTTACGGGTAGGTTAGTGCAATGTAAGTAAGTCATTCTTGTACTTATGCATGCTATTAAATTATCGCAGTGTCAAGATTCGTGTCTGTGGGTGTACAATGTTCAGTAATTCGAGGGTCATCTCACAAAGCGCAGTGGCATTTCGACATGCAAGGAAAGTTCACGAGCATGACATTTCAGTCTATCAACATTGAGATTATAATCACGTTAATGGTAAACATCTAAAACGAGCAAATGCTTAAAAGAATTCTTCGAATTTTTCACGAAAAGATCCCAAATTCTGTTGTTTTATGTAAATAAAATTGCCGATGAATACATTACAAGTGACTATTAGCTACAGCACACAAGGAAAAATATATAAGAAACGGTATGCATAATTCGATGATGTAAACTCCCTTTATTCTTACGTAGACATACTAAATAAATATTTGTCTGAAATCAAATTTATCTTAGAGCACGACAAATTTTAATAACTACCATTATGTAGGTGTGC